TAAGGCTACATGATTATATGCAATTTTCTCAGTTCAAAATTCCATTCTAACAAAAAATATTTTGTTAAAATAAAAATTACAATTGTTGTTCAATCATTTCTGCATTTTCTACGGTCAACTGTCGTTCTAACTGTACGGCACGCTCACAGCTTTCTTTCGCAGTTGCTTCCATTGCTTGTCCAGCTTCTACTTCATATCTTTTCAAGGTTTCAAAAGATATTGGTGGAATATTTAAGCAAGCTAAAAGTTTTTTTAAGTTTGAGTAGCCAATTCCACTATGTAACAATCCTGGAACAAAATATATATATATATACGTAATTTTCACTTACAAGTACTTCTTTTATAAAACAATAAAATTTTTTTATTAATTATTTATAAAAAAGACTATATATTGTCGATTTTCAAATCAATTTAGTTTAAAATCAATCTAGATCGCAAGATATAACTTATGTCTAAATAACTTGTTACTGACCTACTGCAAGTTTTGTATTGATGTCAAATCGTGAATTACGTCTTGAACTTTCTTTTGGTGAGTGTTGCTTTCCTGTGACGATGGAGTTAATGAGTAAGCATTTATGGCAGCGTACCAATAGTGAAGAACCAAGGCCTCGACGTTGTTCATTTTCAATATTTTCTAATGATAGACATTCTTTACAGAATGTACACCATAACTGTGTCCCGAGAAAATATAAGTCAACAATGCGACGTCCTTCTGCAGGTTTTTCAGCGTCTTCATGAAGCTCGTCAGGATTTATTTCTTTTTCGGAAATCTGCGAAGAAGAAATCTCTGTCTGTGTTTCTTCCTTTTCTCCACTTTGCTCTGTTTCTTGCTTTTTACTATTAGTTCGGCCTGTTCTGCTTTGTGCCAATCGTTGTTCGTACACTGACTTTGTAACAACTTTTCTTTTCCACATAAAACGCTTTTTCTTGAGCACTTTGTTGTGTGGCTGACCAACGACGGAGTCTTGCACACTCTTTCGTTTTCGCGAAACCGCTTGTAAAACATTGGAATTGCAAAGATTTTTCATTGCGTGATCGTGATGTTCTTTGCACATACGAATAACTATTGACAGCAAATGCTACCAACGTATGCATATACTACAACGAAATGCGGTGTTGCCGCGATCACAGTATTTTATAATGCAAAATATATTAATTTATATTTTGCTAAAATTAATAAAAATATATATTTAATATACATAAAACAATTTTATCTGTAATTTTAAGCATCAATTGTTACATTTTAATGAACTTTTAGGGTTAACAAATTTTCAGTTTTTCATTATCTTACGTTGGCACGTATGTACAATCCTACTCAAAAGTATCAAAAGTGAACATTAAAATAGCACAAAATACACGTGAAAACTTTTCTGTAGTCATTAAAAGTATAATAAATAATTTTCTTAACTTATTTTTGTATAAATAATACCTTTCCAGCAAACAATCATTATCTAAATACTAAAATAGGTTAACGCTATGTTTCTTAAACTTTTGACTAAGACCTTACCCTGAATACAACCTTAAGACAGCTCAGTGCGTTTCGTGCGCTTACGGTTTTACCTGTAGGAGCATATGGGAGGAGCTAATATAACAGCATATACTATAACATATACATATTAAAATGTAATTGTGCGAAGCGCGTAAGACAGCCCGATGCACGCTTATTCGCGGATCTTTGTTAATTAAGATTTCGGTAACTATTGCGAATCTAGCAAAATGGTATAGGACTTATCGACTCAGTTTTATTTCTTCTACCTGTCTACGAGAGATGTTACACCAATTCTGGGACACCCTGTATATATAAATTTAAACTATATCAAACTTACTTAGAACCTGAATCAGATGCATATTTTAATATTTGCCCAATAGCTGACTTTATCTGTGCTACTATATCTCCAAGCTTAACTAAAAAAATGAATATATTGTGCGTATTATATTTTAATTTTATAAAGTATACTTTTTATTTAAACAAATAATTTAAAAAAGTTTGAATTATTTAAAGCTTTAAAATAACTTTTGTGGATAACAATGACCAGTAAAATAGAGAAGTAACGCTATGAATAAATTAATCAATAATAAAGAAAGAATAAGAATTCAGACAAAAATAGTAATTAACAAAAAAAGTAATTAATTCTATAATGAAAGATTTTTTTCTATCTTACCACTTGGACATAAATCATATCCAACGGTTATTACTTTGATCTTGTTTTCAATAAACAAGGGTACTGAAAATCCAGTGAGATCCTTACTGAATTCTTGCCAGTATCCGCCATGAATGAATACAAATATTGGCGCGTCTAAAAATAAGCAACAATTTACGTTTTAATAATGTTGTTTTAATAAATTTTATTAATGTTGTTTTTTTTTATAAATATACTATAATGGCACAGCAAATAGAATAATTTGATATAATTACGTTTTTTTTTTTTTACTAAAATTTCAAACAAATTACTATTACACGATATTATATAATATATTGTAACTTATTTGTTAACAGTTTTATCAAGGAAGAAATGAAAAAATAAATAACTTATACATATGTGTGAGATTATTCATTATATATATGTACAAAGTTTATATAAGTTCATCTCTTATTTACCTTTAGGTAAGTCAGTACCGTATATGTCGTACTTTGTCCGTTCCGTAGGCCCGTATCGTACATTAAGCTCGCATTTTATAGTCTTTCGAGCCTTTGCCGTAACTATAAGAAAAAAATAAAAAATTTCTCAATTATACAATTGAATTAGTCTGACGAATTTGCGCTTTGTTAATCCATATTTATCTCTTACGATATTAAAGAAAATTAAGACTACTATATAGGTGTTGTTCAAGTTTTTATACTCATCATATATCTTGTAGCCACATATAATCCTATTTTGGAATATTGTAAAAAAAAAGAAATTTAATATATATAATAAATATATATAACATATAATAAATTTAATATGTATACGTATATATATATATATATGTATATTAAAAAGAAAATAGATTTGCTTCTCTATTTTACCTTCACCGCAGAATTTAAAGAAATAAGTTAGCAGTTCTTCATGCCCATATCTGTTGCTCCATTGGCTCGGAGTGTATAGTCGCTCGTGTTCCTTCAAGAAAGTTAACAACGACATTACATTTTTTTTACACTCTTTAGCGAAAAATTTATACATATCTTCTTATTTACATTTATACGTATCTCAAGTATCACAACACTTCTCGCTTGGAATACGTACAGATATAGCCGTAGACATGTTGGAACAGTTTATTTCAGGAATATTGCTGTCGTTGTTGTTCGCGGCGACATTCGTTAGATACTGCAGCTATAGACGCACTGCGCACTGCACTTTCTTGGCTTTGTTTTAATGTATATGTATTACGTGTGTTACTTGCGACTTCAACCACGTTCTCTTTCAATCGCGTAAAAAAAAAGAGAAGGCGGAGCTGTAATTAGATATGTAAAACCGATAATGTTTGTTTTTTAGTTTAAATTATCATTTATATCATCATTCTTGCGTAACACGACGATAATTTCGTCGTGTTAGGAGTCAAAGTTCACGCATTCGAGACATAGTTTTGCAATAGAAAACAAAACTATTTTACGATATATATAGGTATAATGTATATGTTCAGAGTGTGGCAGGACATACTGCAAGTGTGGTGCATTTTCACAAAAGAAGCGATTCTTTCAACAAAGTCGAAAGTATATGGAATTGTTTCGGACGAAGCTTACTTTTCGAAAAAAAAATTGATTTAAAAAATACATCATCAGATATGTGCGCATTTCGCGCGATAGCAAGCCAATATAATATTCCCGGGAATTATAAAAAAAATCCCATAGTCTCGTTCACTTTTGTTACTCTGTTCTTCTTCGTAGGTCCACTTGGTGGGATTCTTATAGAAGCTAAGTTCTCGCATTCTTTTTCGTTTCATTCATGTTCGCCATCGATCCCGAATCGCGAACATAAACCAAAGAGAACCTACTGTTACATGTTACGCTAAATAACGTGGACAAATTTCCACTGTATGTTGTTTTAAGGAGGACTTTTTTATGGCTTATTTTTTCTATGTACATATTTACACGAACGACTTATAAATGTGCGTTCGACTCCGTTACTATATGTGATTAGCAGTTCCGTTCCCCGCAGGTAAAATCGACTAACAGCCAATTTTTTCACTTCTAGACAAGTTTTCGATAGCTTTATCTAGAAGATATCTCCCAAAATTGATTCTCCTTATTGGTTCTCAGAGGAATTTATCCAGAGGATAGCTATATCGAGAGGTATGAAGAAATCGGCCGTAAGTCACGCCTTACCGCGTAGTTTTGTCTAATAAGTTTTATTTTTTTTTCACTTTGTTAGCAACAGTTTTGCTTTTTTTTTAACGTTACGAGTAATCTGACAGAGGGACTTTGCATTTTTCAAATTTTACAAACGCATCTTGTTGCAATTTTTCAGATATCATATTTTCAGCTTTCTGAAGATCTACAAGAATTCTTGAATTCAGAGTGATATGAAAAAAAAATTGACAATCTCGATTCTATTCTGGTTTCAAGTCTCGAAAGAGGAGATCCTGATTTGAGGTGAAAGATTTTTACTATTAATTTAAACTAACATTCTCATTTTTATACAGCATACATTGTGCTGATGATTCGTTGTGTGATTCATTGTGACTCGTTTAAATCAAGATTCGCGCGTTGAGAACGGAACACAACGGAGTGACGTGCCTCGCTGCATTCCAGATGTTAATGTTTATAATTTTTTTGGTACATATACATTATTCATTTTGTCGGACACACGAGTCCCACATGAAGACGCGTATGCGTCTCTCATTGTATGAAGAGACGAGTAACGAGAGAAGACTGCAGGAGAGACCACGAGGTTGCGGAGGTGGAAAACCAGAAAAACCGGCCTCACTCCTTTCTTTCTTTCTTATCCTTCTCTCCGTCCGATCTCTGGGCTCACGTCGTTCCCATCGACTGAGAGAAAGAGAGAAAGAAAAAGCGAGAGAGATAACAGACGTTACAGGTACCAGCTGATGTATCGAAAATCATGCCCGTCGACGCCTACCGCAGCCTCAGGTAAGAGAAACCCGAAAAATTCCTGAGCTGATTCATAGGAATATTTGCGCGACCACTGTCACAACAAGTTCTTCTTATTGGATTGCCAAAATTCTGTTGAAAAAATCGTGACTGAGAAATCTCTCTTTATATTAAAAGAAAAAACAGTATGTTAAAATATATATTGTATGTATCAATATAATGAAAAAATGTATATTTCGAGTACACAAAGAAAGAAAAATAAACACAAGTTAAAGCAATTATGCATGCATAATTAATATAATTATTAAACTTTTATATATTTTTTTTGTTGTATTCAGAATTATTGCACGTACGATACGTGATATTTTTATATTTTAGAAATGACAGTAATTGAGTTTAAAAACGCAGATAATTTTTTGTTGACTTTATTGTTATAAGATGCACATATTAAACATTAGAACCGAACAATTCTTACAATTCGCTTTTCTTAACAATCTTTTTCAGTTTACACCGCCTTACTATATCGACCCTCACATACAGGGAAGAATCAACGGCGGTGGGTTAATTTATTTGACCTACCGAGTATGTGCTCGACAGCAATTAGTGCTGAGTGTAACGTTGAGTAGGTATCCTTTTACACGCATTGCGAGCACGATAGCGAACAGAAGTATGCGCAACCATGACATTACATGACACACAAGTTAGTCATGTATATTAAGACCTATATTAAATCCACTTATTTGACAAAAGAAAATTATTTACACGTCCAACAAATTGAACAGTTGACTTTGTTATCCAAAAAATTCATTTAGTTTAATTTAATATAATAATATAAAAATAAATATACATATGATAGATATAGTTTGACGGTACACAAAGAAATGTAATGTGTGATTCATAAACACAATTAATAAGCTAATGATTTTATTTCCTATATATTTATTAATTTTATCAATAACACAGTTAATATACGTTCACATTCACGCTATAGGGTATTAAAAAATACATATGTTAGTAATATTACAAATATAAATAAAGATTTTGTAAAAAAATTTATATTGCGTGTCTGTATAATGTAAATTGAATAAAAAAAAAGTGAAAAAATTTTTACACGATCCTGCCAGGATTCGAACCTGGAATCTTCTGATCCGTAGTCAGACGCGTTATCCGTTGCGCCACAGGACCGTCCTTGACTACATACCTTTTGTGTTATCTACAAATACCTTTCACTCGTTAATTTCTTAATTGACTAACGAGTTACAAAACAAATTAAGTAATCTAATTTATGTTTGTTTTTAAATTGTAAGACAAGCTTACTTAATGGGTCTTTAATTATCACAAGTACTCGCTATCTATTATGAAACTATTCGGAATTGACTCCGATTGAAAGATTTCAACTTTTTTAAAAAATTTTGTCCTCTCGAAAGGCAAAGCAAAAGAAAAAACTAATAAAAATCGAAATCATTTCGAGTAAAAGTCGAAATAATTCTGCTCTTTGATTTTTCTTCTATTAGTAATAAACAAAGAAACGAAATCAATCTGAAAAATTGCACAATACGTGTGTATATATAGCTATCTAGAATTAATATTTAAATTATGAAATAAATGTATGAATTTATCTAGATGGTTTTCAAACGTATCGTATGAATGTGTCACGTTAAAAGTACGTGCAGATTTGCACACGTATTAAATATACTCACTTATAAATATACCCACTGTAAGATACTACTACTGATTGTAGAATTGATAATTGCTTAAGTAATTGTAATAGTATGATTTTTATCTCTTTCGTTCAATTTCACACATAAAAAACAGCTGTAATTCTCTTGATTACGTTAATACGAAAACAAACACGCAACTTTATCGCAACGTATTTTTCTTACGATTAGATAGGAATCATTAACTTATTTAGTATCAGCACACAATTATAACGGACTGTGAGTCATTCATGAATCACAAAAGGAAGAAAAGATTTGAAAAATTATACACGCAGCGTGAGAGAGAGAGAGAGAGAGTTGTTCTTAAACTTTCAGGTTAATTAAAAATATCTTTTCGATAAAGAGAGATAGAGCTGATTCGAAGATGCGACTCGGACCGGATGATATCTCGCCCGAACAGAGTATATCAATACATTAAATATTACATTATTAAATATTACATTAAATATTAATATACATTCTGACGTATTGTTTTCTACGAAATGATTCGAACAGCTGGCGCTATGTTTTAGCGTTTGCGGTTCTCCGCGACGTGAAAGCAGAAATACAATATGATATAGATAGCGTTATTTCGCTGACGAGCGCTCGATGATACGTAATACACGAACACGTCTCGCATAAAGGATATATAGAGGATATTCTTATCCGTTACTTCGTCTTTGGTAGCTTTAAGCGGTAATCTGTTATATATATAGACTAGAGTGTGAGAATACATTTATATAATCAACAACAAGAGTGAGATTTCATTACAGTAGTTCTATATTTAGAATAATGTATGCACGTGTGTGTGCGCGTTGAAATATATGTAAATCACAAATGATATATTATTGAGATGAATGAAGTTTGTTAGAAATAAGTTCACATTTGAAAATGTATATTTTTGAAAACATATGATCGTATCGCGCTTTTAGAATAAATATACTCTTGATAGAGATAGTTTTCGAGATACAGAGCTGTGTCTGAGTCACAGGAAAGCTTAAAATTCGAATAATAAAGAAAAGGGTAGCAAAACAAGCGTTAAAAGTAATATCGGAGATCAAAACAAGAAGAGAAAAGTCAAATGAATTTCAAAACAGACAAGGTAGACGTTAAAGATAACCGTGAAGCGAAAACAAGAGATCAAGACACAGAATAATCTTGAGTTTGTTTTAATTCAAACTGAGTTTGAATATTTTTAATAAAATTAATGTGAAAATAACAATATTTATATGGTGTGAAATATGTGACGGATTGTATAGTTATGTGTTCTCTCAAATTTATTAACCTTAGTTTAACACACATTTTTTTAAAGATAAACATTTGAGAGAGATATGCTTCTGAAAAAAAAAATATTTACGTTGCTAAAAATTAATGATTTTCAAATTGTGTATTATAATAATTTTGTATTGCTGTTGAAAACTTTCATAATATATGCTTATTTTTCAGTTTTCTTTTAAGTAAAGGTCGCAGATTGGTGTTCGAAATGTTCTACTACAGAAATTTTTTTGTGATTTTCAATATTTAAAAAATTACAATCTCAAAAAAATTTATATAAAATATTTAAAATATTAGAGAGTATTCTATATATATATATTGTGTATTCTATGTTCTATAAAAATATTAGTATTCCATGTTTATAAATATAATAATTCGAATTAACTTAAAACACATTTTCTACCAAAGAGTTTCTGTAAAGTATGAGAGAAAATTTTATCCTTTATCATCTTTCTTGGGGAAAGGTTCTTTTTCTGTTCTTGAATAATCTTTTGTACAATACAAGTAGAAAACTAGAAGTTTTCACAAATAGAAGCAAGTAGATGTAAATTCTTTTTTTTTCTAAGCGCTGGATTTTTTCTTGGCCCAGACGCACTATAGACTACCCGGACATATTTTTTTGCATATTGTTCTGATATTTATCGTGTATATGAGTACGCATTACAAAATGCTCTTTGCATAATGTGAAATAAATATTTGTAAGAATAACATACATGTCTTCTTCGAGATAAATATCAAATGATGTAAGAGTCTTGTGACAGGTAAAACGAATCAAGAGATATTGCATCATGCAAACTTAGACTTTGTCCCGCAACATTGCGTACATAAAAAATTGTAGCAATATTGTATTTTTATTTTCTTTATGTATTATCACCTAAGAATTACGTTAGAAATCGCAGAACGGAGCACTGACCTACAAAACAGAAGTTTATAAATCAAGATATGAAATTTAGAAGTAGATTCTGGTTCAGGATGAATATTAATTGAGATAGTTGAGGCAGGGCGTATCTGAACTAGTTGCTAGATAGTTTTTGCATGTAGATGTAAATCAATAATACGAATTTTCCCAAACGTTTCGACTGTATTTTTCAGTCATCCTCAGTGGGTAACAGCTTGATTATTTCAAAGTGAATGTGCGTTTAATTTTAAAAAAGTATCCACAAGCTGAAAACAGCTTGATTATTTCAAAGTGAATGTGCGTTTAATTTATATACCCACTGAGGATGACTGAAAAATACAGTCGAAACGTTTGAGAAAATTCGTATTATTGATTTACACCTACATGTAAAAACCATCCAGCAACTAGTTCAGATACGCCCTGCCTCAACTATCTCAATTTATAAATCAACTTGTCGTATTTTTGAACAAAAGAATCTGATAACATAAAATCGACATGAAAATATTTCTGACTTTTTTGTTACTTTTCTATTCGGAGTTAACGTTTGATAAAAATATTACAATGACAGATCAATTTGAATTGAAATACAAATATTATATATTTTATCTTTTAAATGTTTTTTAATGATGAAAAGCATTACGAAGTTTTCAAATTAATGAGAATCATAATCGAAAATATGTGGATGAAACACGAACTATTTGATTAGAAACTTATTTTATTCAAAACTATTTTATTTTAACTATTGATTAGGAACTTATTTTATTTAAAAATCTGTATACGCAGAAAAAGTTGACTTTCATAGTTGCAAGCGTCGTATCTTACAAATTGATGACGTTATTTACAACATTAACACATGTGTATAGTCGAATTAACATAAATAACAAATTAATTTGAGATGGAAAACCAATTGCTCATCAGCGGGTCCAAAAGTTCCAGAAGTTCCACCCTCTCGCAGCATCGGTAGCCAGTTGCTATGGTAACAGCCATGCAAAGAGTTATATCGCGCGTTAACCGAACGATGATAACCGATGTTTTCCGATGTCTGCCGAATGCGTTACGAATCCGAGACCGAGAGCAACCGAGCGCAGTGCCGACCGCCGACAGGATAGAGAAGGAGCGTGTCAGTGGAGCACCTCGTGCAAGAAAGAGACAAAGACGAACAACGTGAGCTCTCTCGGGGAAGGTGACCAGAAATTATATAGGTAGGGGACAGAGCTTCCCTGCCGCGTTAGGTAGAAGCAAACGAACAGTTCTCGGTTCGGCCGGTAGGTTACAGGGAGGAAGGAGTCGTGCTGCTGCGGTACGAAGAGGTCGAAAGAGAGACGGCGCGTGCGTCAGAGGGGGAGAACTAGAGAGGGCGAAATAGAGAGAGAGAAGGAGAAACGAGAAACGACAGACGTAAAGAAAAGAGAACAGCTCGTAGAACGGTGCGGCGGCGTGTCCTCGCGTGCTTTTGTCGCGGCGTTCGAACGCAGCCATTACGACAGACAGACTCTCTCGGTGACGCTCGTAACGCGTCGCGTATTGACGCGAGAGAGAGAGAGAGAGAGAGAGAGCGAGAGACGGCGGTGTGGCATATCGGTTTTGCACGCGCAAGAATCTCGAGACCGCGTACTAGTACACACACAGGCTCGGCAGGACACACGTGTTTCGCGAGACCGGAGCGCATTACAGAGCGCAATCGGTCGTTGCCGAAGGATTTGGCGTGACGTGAGTGAAGCTCGTTAGAAAAGCCAACGACTACATTGTGTGTTGCTTGGAATCTGCACGAGTGTAGCAACCAGATCGGTTTGTGTGAAGTCAAATTTTGCGAAGTGTAAACGAAAAGAACCTCAGTTATATTCAAGATAAAAGAAATTTCGTAGAAGAAAATCCACCACCATGTTTGACGTGTTCGGCTCGATAAAGAGCCTGTTGAAGCTCGACTCGGTGTGTATCGACAATAATGTGTTCCGATTGCATTACAAGGGCACCGTCATCATATTAATTGCCTTTTCCCTGCTGGTGACCTCGCGGCAATATATCGGCGACCCGATCGACTGCATTGTCGACGATATACCGATGCACGTAATGGATACTTATTGCTGGATCTATTCGACCTTTACGATCCCGGAACGGACCGGCATAATCGGCAAAGACTTGGTGCAACCTGGCGTAGTCGCTCATGTTGAAGGTGAAGATCATGTGAAATATCACAAGTATTATCAGTGGGTGTGCTTCACCCTTTTCTTCCAAGCAATCCTCTTCTACATTCCGCGTTATCTGTGGAAGACATGGGAAGGCGGCCGAGTCAAGATGCTTGTGCTGGACCTCAACATGCCGGTTGTTAGCGAAGACTCAAAGAGCGACCGACGTAAACTCTTAGTTGATTACTTCGCGCTTAATCTTCACTCGCAAAATTTTTACGCATACCGTTTCTTCTTTTGCGAGTTAGTCAACTTTGTCAACGTAATTGGTCAGATCTACTTCATAGATTATTTCCTGGGCGGCGAGTTTACCACTTACGGCTCTGACGTCATCAGATTTACCGAGATGGAGCCAGAAGAAAGAATCGATCCCATGTCCAAAGTGTTTCCGAAAATGACCAAATGTACGTTCCACAAATATGGTGCGTCCGGCACAGTGCAGAAGATCGACGGTCTTTGTGTGCTGCCGCTCAACATCGTGAACGAGAAGATTTACGTGTTCCTGTGGTTCTGGTTCATCTGTCTGTCAATCTTGAGCGGGCTGAGCTTGTTGTATCGTTTAATAGTGGTACTCTCGCCGAAAATCAGGTTAATATTGCTGCGTGCTCGATCTCGTCTATCGCCGCTCGACCAAATTAAGATCATTAACGACAAGTGCCAGATCGGCGACTGGTTCATTCTTTATCAACTCGGCAAGAACATCGATCCGCTTGTCTACAAACAGCTCATCGCGGACCTCGCGACCAAGTTGCAGGGAAAAGAAAATGTTTAACACAAGTTGCGCAGCTGGAAAGGACCTTCTGAATGAACTCTTCTGGAAACAAGCTTGAGGGAGTTCTAGAGAAAGAAAGAGAGAGAGAGCGACTGTGTAGAAAAAGAGGAAGCGAACGGTAGGGCCGTTTCCAGATTATGATTGAGAGAGAAACCCAATAGCAATTAAATATAAAGGCGAGGGATGTGGAATGATTGCTTTAGATTTAATCGCGCCCCAATGATTCGATAATTTGATCATTCATATCATTCCTTCCTACTAGTTTGGTTACAAACTAAGAAGGAACATTAATACTAATTAGAATAAGAAAAGAGATCCTTAAAATGATTAAAACTGACAATAACATTTGATCAGTTGTAGTAATCTTGTTTCTAATGCAATTTTTGCGTTACTTATAATTGAACAAGAATAATTAGTTTCATGAACATATAATATTTCGGTGATGTTTTTTTTTTTTTTTTACAAAATCGAACGAATTAAAGTAAATGTGATATTAACTCAACTTTAAACGCGCTCATTGCTGCAATTGGGGTCTCCGCTAAAGTAGTTGGGTCAAGATTCTTGTATTCTCGTTGTTCCTCTCACGCGAGTACACGCTTCTATACGATGTTGGGTTTGCGGTTAAGATAAAGCGACATTCGAAGCTTGTTCCGTTGCCTCTCCTCGCGTCTTCGCATTGAACTCTCCCCCGTCTTCCCGTCGAACTCTCCTCGTCTTCGAGGAATCCTTTCACTCGCACAGTATTTTCCATCGCGAATTTATATTTATCTCGCGCGCTCACACTCCCGTCTGTTTTATTCCGTTTCATTTGAAAAAAAAAAAGAATTTGTGCCTTTAACGATGTCTCTTATCTGTTTTTTTTTTTTATTTAATTGCTCTTTTTGCAATATATACGTTGAATAACAACAACACTTTCATTTTGAATTCAACAAAATAAGCTAGACTTTTTATTTAAATTACACGGTGTAACATCATTTTTTTCGCGTATAAATTTATGAGAGCAATTAAAACAAATTTACAGAGCAATTGGTTATTTTTTTTTTTTTATTATAACATAAGCAGTTGATTGACCTCAGTAAATAATAAACTTTACGTTATTCCGTTATTTTAACGCTACGAGATATACCGGAGTTGTTATAATTTCTGTTGCTCGTGGGGTTTTACTCGTGTGTGCTCACATAGTAAGGTATGTAACATACACAGCTGATAAGACCCCTCATCATGAACGTCCTATGCTCGTGCACGCGGCGAAAAAAATCCGGTCTTCCGCGAAACGCTTCACCGCGTTGTACATACACATGTATATTCGTTCTCTTCGCTTGCATTCCTATGGGCCTTGCGCACCGAAGCGAACGTGGCGCATAAAGGAACGATCTGTCTTGTAAGTATATGCGCGCGAAACAAGAAACCTGTGCAGGAAAGAGGGTCCCAAAAGCCCAGCGGGAAGTCGCTCGAGGACGTTCGTGATTTTTTTTTTTATTTTTTTTTTTTTTTTTTTTTTTTTTTTTTTTTTTGTGAGACTTTTCAAGTCGTTTCAGGCACAAATCGCAAATAAGAATTTTCAAACGTTCTTAAATTCCATAATCTGTTCCTCTAACTGAAAGGAAAGAAGGGACGAGGAGAGAAAGGTCCGTTAAGAGCTTAAAAGAGCGCGAGGTCCTTCTCCAAGCACTCTTACAAGCCTTCGTTCGTGGACCTGGATCGTGTGATAAAAGCGGTGAGCGGTGTTTTCTTGCTTTGTGTTTCCTTTGTTTCTTTTTCTTTTTTTTTTTTTCATTTTTTTTTTACTAACGAGATGAGCATTTTTCGTGGTTTTTTTAAATGCACAAAAAAGCAATTTAATACGATGTAAAAAACATATGCAAATACAACAAGGCATTTATTGGTTTAATTTAAATGCTTTAGTTTTGTTTCGATTATTTATTATATTTGATTATTTATTATATTTGATTATTCGAAAGAGAGAGAGAAAGAGAGAGATAGTAGTGAACAAAAGAAATAAAATAAAAATCAATAGAAGAACTTTTTCTTGAATACGTATCTGGCGAGCAAACAACGCGGATGCGAGAATTTTTGATCAGTCAGATTGGCCGAATTAATTAATTAATTCATATTTCAAAACAACAATTAATTTATTCGCTGTTTGTTCGCTAAAATGTTCGGTGTATATCTAGTTTCACTTCAATCTCTAATCTAGATATACACACACACACATGTATACGCATTTATTCTCGATTCGTTGTCAATTCTCTCACACCGCTCTCCGCAACTTTAATTTCTCTTCTTTTATTCTTATTAGTTACTCCGATGTTTCTTATATAGCAGAGTTCATCGTGATCTAGTCGTCCAGACAAACGTTTCTCTCACGGCTGAAGTTCCCTCTCTATTCTTCCCCCACTTTTTGATAAATAGTCGATGTGAGTATGTGAGATTATGTTCGTTTTCGAGCAGCGCGCGAATAGTAGTTGATGGTAGTGGACGAGAGGAGAATCTTAAATGTGAAATGAGAATCGATTGGACGTAAAAGTCGAGAGGAATTCTGCTATATTCCGTAAGATGATCCAGAGAGATATAACGTTGGTTCAAATCAATCGGAAAATGCTTAATTTACTGATATACTGCTGCTCAGTAAACTGATTTGTTGATTGATAAACAGCAATTTATTTGCCATTTTCCGAATTTGGACCGAAGTTATCATCCGTCCCCCGTCTTGCGGTTCTAGAAATGTAAGGTAAAAGTATTCGTGTATATTATATATAGAAGGCTATATATATATATGAGAGAAGAGATAGATAGAGAAACTTTACATTATGTATGACAATTATATATGAACACAAAGAAGATAGTGTGATGTAATGTGCGTAACGTATGAGTGTGTAGATGAACAAATGATTATCATTCTTCTCCGTATTTCGTCATTCCATGCACAAAAAAAAAAAAAAAAGACGCACAACTTTTGTACGCGAGCGATTACATTGTATAACGAATACTATATTGCAATACTACAAGTATATAGTATTGTACGCCAATTCTTGTGCGTCCTATCTTATAGTGTCAAATTTAATGCAATGGGATATCAAGCTCCAATTAGATTAGATATTAGATATTAATGCAAATTCTCGCTATTTTTGTGACCTCTTTTACAAACATCTATTATACGAAGGTTAATATAGAAATATAGTTTATATTTTTAGATGAACTAAATCGTCGTGCTGCAAGCGTTTTCTATCAACTTTTCCCTTTTCGCGTATGTAAGACTGGTGACTTTTATTCTAGAGGGAATTACACACGTAATCACACACACAAGAATGCCGATATCTTTGCCCTAAAGAAGATTGGTCAATTAAATATATTAATTATTTAGTCACTAATTGTCGGAGGACATATTTTTTTTTTTTGTTTGAGGAAGCGGCGAAAACCGAAAGAAAAGCCTTAATTGTAACATTGCGACGATAATATTTCAATATATCACGCGCAGTAGTTCCTCGAGTGATGTTCAATATATATATATGTACATCTCTTAACTGATATAATTTCATTGTAATCGTTTTCGCGATAATTAAGTTCAGACTTTGTTTTATTTATTGTTATTCTTCATGAGAGCCGATACGATTAATGTTTCCGAGAATCGTAGACACAACCGAGGAATTACCACGTCGCACGTGTCACAAATACACGTATATAAATCATATAAAGAAATACTTTTATTACAATAAGAAAAACATTCGAAACACACATTCGTAATTTACCCACAATGTTATTATCATCAGTCTTAAATTACATTAATGGACAATTTAAGTTTCGTCGAAGCACGTGGCTCTTATTGGCCTTTTCATTAACATGCAGAGAGTTTGTTATACTTAAGAGCTCGTGTGTATCTTCACATTATCTAAATAATAATTTAATTTAATACGCGATAATCAGCGAATATTGCAGCTTAGTTTATTCGTTCATCACGCACGAAGTGATAGTTCAGAGTCTAGATAATTTGTATGAAAAAAAAAAAACAATCGTGTCACAAGAAGCGCAACTATTTATTTATCGTTTGTATATTCTACACTTCGACACGCGCAGGCTTTTCTCCTTCACTGTTTTAACCCGTGTGCTCAATGCGTGGAATATCGCATTGCTATTCGCGCTTTGTCAACTTGCTTGTGTTGCTGTTTTCGATAGGGATCGAAACGCGACGAGTTTATAGTACCGTTATATCTATGAGATATTTCAGATATACCGGCGAAAGAAAATAAAACTAACAGAGTACGTATCTTCAATATTGAATTCGCTATACGGACGATATTGTTCACGTTTTATCAAGATAACGGTGTAGAGATAACGCTAAGATTGTCACCTCTCAATAAAAGACTCTAAAGAACAGCGTACACGGAAACTTTGCTCGCGTTGTATCGACGTGTACGTTCGGAGAATGTTTTATCAAAAAAAAATGTCGCTTGTGCGGAAATTTTCTGTTTCAACAGAATGCGTTTACTTAACGTTGTAACTGCCTTCTTCTGTGGCTTTGACGTTACTCCTGAAAATGTCACGAACGTAAAAAGATCATAAATACCAAGAACAAACTACAAGTAGTAGTCGAAGATCAAATATATTTAACACAGTTGACACGTATTTCACGAGTTCCGTTCACGATAACTCGCGTTTTCTTATCTTAAAAATCTTATTTCGATACAATTGTGTAAACGGAAGAAAATGATAATAACGAGACATGGCTACTCTTCTCATATCTTTTCATTAACATACAAAAGTTGAGTCATTCTTTCTAAATGAGCATTTAGTTACAAGCGCAGAAAAATACTCTTTCTTAGACTTCAAAATGTTTTAGTTTATAATTGATGTTTATTATTGAATAACATTTGTAACAAGTGTTTACAACTTGTATGTTCAATGACACATTTTCGTAGACACGTATGAATCACATCACGAGTGGAAAATTTTAACTTATGGCCAAGATACGTCTTCACCGAGAAATGTGTAGAATGTACAGACGATAAGTCGCATTATCAAAGAACGTTCTTTTGGGACGAAACTTTGCTAATAAATGCGTAGAATGTATGAGAAAAATTGTAATGTTAAACAATTATTTTTGTTAGAAAAGAGAAAAAACTCATTTTTCGTCATCATTCGCTTCTTCGTCGTGTATATTTCCGGAGAGAATCTATGCTCAAAGTAAGACTGCCAAGTAATCAGGACACTCCACGTCGCCATGATTTTTTTTTTTTTTTTTTTTTTATCACTTTTAGATATGAGAAAACAAACTGCTGTTTTGCGTCGCGTTTATTATTATTTTTGTTCCGAGGCTTCAATTCGTCAATTTTTTTGGAGAGAACTCTAGAATGTTTGCATAATATTACACCATATGTATTTCTTTTCTCTGTATTTCTAAGCGCGTTCTCTTATAACTGCCTCGCTTCACTTCTCTCGCGACAAGTAACAATTATCTTAGTCAGCTTGTC